TCTGTGAGTCTGATTTGGAAATCAGTTTGTATTAATTAAGGGTATATTTGTGCATAACTCCTGACAAGTCAGCTGCTGCATGGACAGATTTAAAGCCTCAGGATTCCTCAGTGCATTTAAAAGCAAGGTGAAAATATGCCGTTAGCTCTATGAGGCCCTTACAGCCTGCAACAGTTGTCTTTCTCTACAACTGTTACCAGGAGCGTGCTGTTACAAGAGCGTTGTCATTTCCTAATTGGAGTAGTGCAGTAAGGCAGTTGGGTGGCTGCCTCTTGGCAGCACAGTTATGTGGTTTGTGATGAAAAGTAAGGATAAGTAAACTCTGTGTGAGTCACAGGCAGAGCAGTCAGCTGCTGTGAGCAACTCTCTGCAAATGCTTTGTGTGCACGGCACAGCTCCTGCCTGCTGCGTAAAGGAAACCCATATTCTTGATTTCAAACATTGTTTTTCTTTGTTTCAGTCTGACCTGAGTTTTTCCTAAACATCATGGGAGAGATTAAAGTCTCTCCTGACTACAACTGGTTCAGAAGCACAGTTCCTCTTAAAAAGGTATGTTCCGCTGTCCTCAGCTTGCATGCTACGTCTCTCCTTGTGCTCTGTTCGAGCCGTTTGGCTCTGGATAACGCAGAACAGTTGTGGCAGTGCTTGTCCAGCCAAACTGTTTCCCCACATGTCTTAGGAGTGCATGAAAGCACACTTTTCACGTGCTTCTGGCACTTCTGCAGCAGCTTGCAGTTGCTGCCTTCCAGCTGGTTCTGTTCTTTAATCTGAGCAGCTCTTTGGGCTTCAGGATGGTACTGGCAGAAGAGGCAAGAACAACACTACTTTCAACAAGCTGATTGCATTTGGGCCACTGTAAAGGGACTGTGTCCCCAACCCTAAGGAACAATGCTTAAGTGTGCATTGTTTCCCCTGAGCAGCGTGTGGCTTTCTCTAAGACATTAACTTCATTACAGGGTTCTGCAACTTGCTGCCAGCAGCCACTGCCTTCAGCTGCTGCTGACTGCTCAGGATTTCAGAAATAAGAACATGTGTAAGCCAAAGCTGCACCAGGGTTTCTGGCGACCTTCAGACTAGGGAATACCTTTCCCCCTTGAGAGATTCAGCTATCTCCATAGTAAAGTGATGCCACAGTGATGAATATGGGGTATGAAGAAGGTAGAAGTAAAATAGTCCTAGTTCCTGGAAGATGTGGCAAGTACATCTGCTTGCATTATCTTCCCAAAGGTTTAGGCAAAGCATGTGCCCTGTGGAGGAAGGAATGGCCAATTGTTGTTAGTCCTGATCAGTGCCTGTTACTGCTGTCAGGTTGCCCTAAAGAAGCAGAGACAGCACTGTTTGAAAACAGGTTAAGATGCTCCTCTCAAAAGCAGCAGGAAATGCACGGTTCCGTTGCTCTTCCTGTTCTTGTCAGAAACAGGAAGTACAGCACAGAAAATAATGTTCTTAGGCAAAGTCTTCAGCTCTGCCTATGAACCCATGCTTGGATTTGTGGCCCCTAAAGTTAACAAGTGCCACAAGGTGAGTGGCTCTGACATGGTTTTTCAGCTCATAAACATTCTGGTTCTCCACAGGAAGCTGCAGCCACGTTGGTCCTCATCATGGCAGATGTACTGTTGTTCAGGTACTGCAGCTTCTCAGGCCTAAAATGAAGAAAGAGGGGAGTACAAATTAAGGCTGAATCTGACCGGATGCTGTATCAGTGTATAGGGATCTCCTCAGCATACACCTTGCTGTTTTAGATCAGTCCTTCCTTAAAGTCATCAGCAGAGGACACTCTGGTTCTGCTAAACTGAAGGGAATTTCTGCTGCTTGTTTCAGTGAAGTATGAATTGTGCCCTTCTGACTGTGACTGTCAACTGTTTTGACTTTCGACTGTAAGAAAAAAACCAGTGCCCTACCAAGCAAGCATTTAACCATCCCACAGCATTTAGCTTTGTTTTTGAGCTGTAGTAGTGTCTGGTGTGTGGCTAGAAATCAAATAGAACAGTTTAAACCCCCTGATTTTGCTGAGCTTGAGGAAAGAAGCATTACCTCTGAGCCTCCATTCCCTTCATGTGAACTAACTCTGTAATTTTGAGCAGGATGCGAAGCAAGGTGTTGCTTCACCTTTGGAAATACTCAAGGTTCTGTTGTAGCCATTGGAAGCTACTTTGAATGTCTCCAAAGTTACTGCAGAATAACAGCTGAGAACTGTGATTTTTGGAGATTATGCAGAGGGTTGATTTTTGGGAGGCTTTAGGAAGGCTTTTGTGCAAAGGGGCTTTTTTGTGTATGTGTGTTTTTGGTTTTTTTTTTTTCCTTTCTTTTTTCTCTTTTTAATGGCTTCATCGGTCTGGGAAGCCCTGCTATGCAATCTATCTTTCTTTGTTTTTTTGTGAAGACCTCACAAAGCAGCAGTATCATGTGATTCCTCACATGTTCCCAGAGCTTGAAATACCGGCTTTATTACAAGCAGATTTGTTAATCAAGCCAATGTGATACACTGTTCTCTAACTCCCTGAGAAGCTTAATCGCTGTGCTGGGAAAGTGAATTATGCTTCTATGTTGCTATTCAAAAAATGACAAAATCTTGACACGGGGGTGAACTCCTGCTGTGTGACGCAGGCTTGCCTTAGATCTGTGATTGTTGATCTGGAATGAGCTGCATGGTTTTGCAGGGGTGAGGAGGGTTGAAACCAGCATGCTAAATACACACAACAGCTTGTTGGTAGGTCAGGCCCTGTAAAATCAAGCCAGGCTTCAACACTGCTGGAGCAGAGAATTGTTACCTGAATCCTGTACTTCTGAAGATACCATTTCTGCTGTGACTTCTTGCTTCTGGCATGTAATGTGCCCCCTGTGAGCAGCTCGTGTGTGCATCAGCTGTTTCAGCCAGCTGTGTCACAGGGACTCCAGGCTCTCCAGACATGTGCTCATCTCCTTCCAGGTCAGCTGTGCAGTGCTGCTCTGGGAGTTGAGTACATCTTAGCAATCAGGTGTAACTGCTTCAAATCGATAATGTGCGGCTAGCTGCTGAATTCAGTAGACTCACATGTATCCAGGCCTGTAACATCTTTTGTCCAGTAAATGGAAGTGTCAGTGACTGGCTAAAAATCTGACCCTGGGGCAGTGCAGGCTCTTCCAGCCTAAGGCTGCTGTGCTTGGTACTGAGGTGGCCCCCTGGGTCTCTTTTGGGCTGTGGCACAGCGGCTCCAAGCATATTTCCCCTCATGTGGAATTGTATAAACCTGATTTCTTTTTTTGTTTTTGAGGGAGCCAGAGCCTCGCTGTTCCCATGATTTATCTCCATCTGTATTTTCAGATCACGATGTACCATCTTTCTGACTTTCTGCTCTCTTTCAGAAAAGAAGTGATTTTTGTGTTATATCCCAGCACAATTTCTGAAATGCACTCAATCACTATAAAAGCAACATAATTCACTATTCCCAGTGCTTGCACTCTTGGTATCTGCAGAAGGATGAGCTCTTAGGAGGCACCGTGTGGTGTGCTGCCTCTGACACCATTTGGTCTGACGGTGGTTGTAGTTCTGGCTCCAGCTGCATGCATCATTGCTTAGTAAACAACCTTAGAGAAGAAAGTTGTGGTGAGAAATAAAAGACAGTCTAGTTTGAAAGAGTCTTGAATATTGTGAGATTTACTGAACGACAGATATTTTGTAGTAGCAATCCTGGAATGTGCTTGAAGCTCATTTCAGTCTTGTGTTTCTCACCCCCTCTGCTTCTCTTCTTCCAGATAATAGTAGATGATGATGACAGTAAGGTCTGGTCGCTGTACGACGCAGGACCTAGGAGCATTCGGTGCCCACTCATATTTCTTCCTCCTGTAAGTGGAACTGCAGATGTGTTTTTCCAGCAAATTTTGGCACTGACCGGATGGGGTTACAGAGTAATTGCTGTGAGTATTATCTAGAAACCTTAAATGTGAGAATTGGTATAACTTTCTAGCAGCAGGTTGACATCTGATGATTAGAGATTGGCTTTTTGTAACTCGTATATTGTTTTAGTTGCAGTACCCGGTGTATTGGGATCACCTCGAGTTCTGTGATGGATTCAGAAAACTGTTAGACCACCTTCAGCTGGATAAAGTGAGTGCCCAGAGATGGATATATAGTTGCCATAAAAACCTGATGTTTGCAAGTCTCATTTAAGAGCAGATGTGTAGTACATGATGCAAAGCCAGCCTGTAAATAAAGAAGCTGTGTTGTGAGTTTATTTTCAAAAGGAAATCCCCTTGAAAATTTGACTAAATTCACTGCTGTTGTAGGCCTATTGAATTGTGTTGCCCACTGCATTTTTCTTTTTTCATGAGATCCTGCTGAAGTTATCCTTCATAACTCATGTTGTACAGAATGCCACCATAAATTATCTTGGATTGGAAAACCTTCTGAATATAAAGTGAAAGGTTCACTTTTTACTTAAGCATGATGAGCACACAGAGATTAGAAGTGTGATCAGGAAACACTTCCTTTTTTCAGTATTCATCTCTTCCTGTAAATCAAAAGAACCTCTATTGAAGTTTTGTTTTGTTTTTTTCTTTAAAAATTAGCTATAAAGACAATGTAAAACTTGAATGACTTTTTGTAATGTGACCCTTAAGGGTCACTTATTTCTCAAATGTAACGTGATCTGTTTTGTTTTTCCTTGTTGAATTAGGTTCACCTTTTTGGAGCTTCTCTGGGAGGCTTTCTGGCTCAAAAATTTGCTGAATACACCCACAAATCTCCCAGAGTTCAGTCTCTGATTCTGTGTAATGCCTTTAGTGACACTTCCATCTTCAATCAGACGTGGACAGCAAACAGGTAAGGAAGACTGAGACAAGCAATGAAGTTGGGGGCATTCACCTGTTTTCTGATGAAACTTCACACTGATCTGCTGATCTGGTTTGACATGTGCCTGACTTGTTTTCAGCCTGCCTGAAATGGTGAGGGCTGGAATACATGCGACTTCTAAAACCACACTACAAAGGAAACAGAAGTTATCACAATTGGGAGCGTGGAATTTGACAGACCACTCTTGCATTTATTTCCTGTGATTCTCTAAGGATGTGGCCAGTCTTAAGAATTCTACTTGATTTCCAGCAAAACCTTTTAGAGTGCTATTCACCATGTTTAAAATACACCCTTGCAACGCAGCAGCTTTCCAGAACATTTCAATCACTTATTTGCAAGGTTTTCCAGCTCTGCTCTCGAAGCTCTTCACAATTTCATTTGAAATTCTTGCACAAAGTCAGTGCAAGAAAAGGGAGGTCTTAAAAGAAAGCATCTTAATTCTGATGGTTACATCTCGTTTCTGTTTTAGCTTTTGGCTGATGCCTGCTTTTATGCTGAAAAAAATTGTCCTTGGGAATTTTGCATCTGGTCCTTTAGATCCTGAAATGGCTGACGGGATTGATTTCATGGTGGACAGGGTAGGTGGCTGTGCACTCCAATGGCTGTAATGTCAGTCTTTGTGAGAGATTCACTCAGTAGACGGGAGGTCGTAGATATTTCTTCTGCTTTCTTCGTTTACGTACCCAGAAGTGAACGGTGGATGGATTCTCAGCAGGTGTTGGCTGTGACAGCCCTTGCAATTTAGCTGTTGCTGTGACTTGTCTGCCTTACGACTCCATTTACTTATGTATATGGGAAGTGGCTAAGAAAGAGATGGAGAGGAATAAAGTGCTGAGATACAGGCTATGCTCTGGAGGCAGGAACAATTAATTAAACATTTTAAGTATTTGTCTCATGCAGAGAGATACTAAGTTGGAACAGTAATTCTTATCTGAAGTGCAGTCTTGTTTCCCTTTAAAACTAAGGAGCTGTCTTCTCTTTGGCTCTGTTGTTACTACTGCATTAACTTCCTGCAGTGAAATATGTTATTAATCAGTATTTGTCTCTACTGAAAGCTGGAGAGTCTGGGCCAGAGTGAGCTTGCCTCAAGACTAACCCTCAATTGCCAGAACTCCTATGTGGAACCTCATAAAATTCGAGATATCCCTGTAACTATTATGGATGTAAGTTTATTTCACCTTCATTTTTTTAAATACTTTTTTTCCCCAGACATCACTTCCTCCTCTTGGAAAGCAGGGCCTGGGTATTGTGTTAGCAACTTAATAAGTATTTGCAGCGTTTAATTTTGCATTTAAATAGTTTTTTCTACTGACTGGATAAGACAGTGGCTTTTCTGTGTTGAGCTAATGGCTGTTACTGCACAGAATACCCAAATGTTTACCTATCAGTGTTAGCTTTCTAGTCGCTGATGCTTAACTTGTTTGCTTGTTTTCTGTTTCATTAAAACTGTTCCACAGACAAGCTGGCAACTGCTTCTAGAAACAGGGCCCACCCATTTGATTTAATAAGCAAAATCTGACTAGACTCCTAATTAACTGTTGTGACTTGTTGCACAGGTGTTTGACCAGAGCGCGCTCTCAACTGAAGCAAAAGAAGAAATGTATAAGCTTTATCCTAATGCCAGAAGAGCTCATCTCAAAACAGGAGGCAATTTCCCTTATCTCTGCAGGAGTGCTGAGGTCAATTTATACATTCAAGTGAGTGTCTGCATTCAAACCTAATCTACAGCTGTGTTGCTGAAACAGCAATAGGAAACTTTTTCTGAGCTCTCTCTTTTTTTCTTTTTTCTTGCCTGCCTGCTCTGTTTACTCATGCTCCCATATCACTGTTACAGAAGAACTGCACTGCAGGTTGCCATGTTTATCAAGGGTTGGCTTTGGGGGCTTGGTTGCTGGCTGTTTCCTCTGTCCCTCATCTGTACTCTTGTATTCCAGGCCAACAATTTCATCCTCTCAGAAAAATAACCCTTATAGAATGTCTCACTCTGCACCAGTGTCACTCTTATTTTCTGTATCTAACAGATTCATTTACTGCAGTTCCATGGTACTCGGTATGCAGCCATTGATCCCTCTATGGTCAGCGCAGAAGAACTAGAGGTCCAAAAGATCAGTCTTCATAGCAGTAGTGAGCAAGAAGAGCAGTAGGTTTATGACTGCCAATGAGAATGAGGCATCGGTTTGGTGGTCTTCCTGTGTACAATCATCTGTTCCTACTCTGCCTTTCTCCTTGTGTCAGCCGGTTACCACTGTGCGACTCCAGCAGGATCAAGTCAGTGAGCCGCTCGCGGACAATGAGCATTCAGCACTGTAACAGGGCATCTGTTTAATTTTCAGTCTCTGAATTCAAGAAAGTACCTTGGAAGACTACAGTTTTAAAAACAAGGACATTTTTGCTACCAAAGTCTTCACTATCATGTTCTCACACAGAATGGTATTTCTTTTTATATTTTCACTCAGCTGTATATATTGCCACATGCAGTTTGTGTACTTATAAGCTGACATATATTTTTGTTGAATATTTGATTTAAAAGATGTTTAAGTGCCAATGTTGCCATCACTTATTTGCTCTAAATGTTGTGTTGCAAGTTAGTTTCTATTTGAAATTTTTAACTTTCTTGCTAGCTGTTAAAAATAGTTTTCAATAAAACTTCGATTTCAGCAATTGCCTCTTCTACTGATTACAAGAGAACAGAAGCGTGGCTTTCTGAGGTCTAGGTCTACCTGTACAGGTACCTTTTAGAAGTTAAGGAATCTTCTGCATGAACTTGCCTCTTGTGTTGAACAGTTCTACTTACAAGGTTGTGGTGGGTCAGCAATGAGAGAGAATTGCACTTTTTTTTTTTTTTTTTGTTGGATTCCTTTCTTTATGTATTTTTTCTTTTTTTAAGAAAAGGATGACTAGGATATAATATGCAATAGTGTGCAAATTTAACAGTAAAATTCTGATTCATTGAAATACAGACATTATTTCTACTCAAAACACTCTAAAAATACAAAAGCTGATGAGTCAAATCTGTGTTTATGAAAACTGGCCTTATGAGAGACTATGTAAAATAATCAATGCTAACATCTTTGAGTTAAAACAGTAAAATCCACACAGCGGTGCTCTGGATGAAAACATCAGCCTTCAGGTTGTCTTAACAACTTCACTCTTTGTTTCCTAGAACACAGATAACTCCGTGCTCATCTAGGCTTTTCAAGTTACCCATCTGATTTATAAATGTTACACCGATGAAGTTAACAATCTTCTCCTTAAAGATCACAGACCATGCAGTCACCTCAACTTTTCTGAACAAACTCCTGTGCTAAGAGGGAAGTTGAGACCAAATCTAAGACGCAAGCACTAGAAACAAACACAAAACAGATAAGCAAAGAACATTTCTCAAAACAAAGGTGTTCTCCACAGTTTATAAAATTGACAATTAAAAACTTATATACAAAATTGTGACACAAACAAGTTACAGTAAAATACTGCAGTATTTCCTGATAGTCTCACTTGCCATGCTGTGACTTACCTCCTATTACAGTATTTGGAACATATGGAATAGCCAATAAAATCCCACTTCTTTATAAAGGAGGCATTTAGACTGCTACTGTTTGCTGATATCCTGGTAGTTCCAGACCAAGAAGGAAGCAGCAGTGACTTTTATGACAAGCACTGAACTTATAGCTGCCTTCTGGTAAGTAGCATAGCAAGTGATTCTCTTGTAGCTCATAAGACAGCCAGTGACAACCAGTGGGTGTTACATTGCTGTGCACTTCTTTGGAGAAGCAGGGTCTGCGTTTGCTTTTTTCCGAATGCTTTCTGTAAAAGAGAATTTTCTGAGCATTAAGGGTTTGGGTGGGTATTGATAACACAGTATGATTACTAATGGATGTTTTGATCCGTGTTTGCTGGTTGTTCTCGTGCTGCAGGCATAAAGCTGTGGCAGGATGCATTAATTGATCAAAGAACTAAAAGAGAAATGACATATGGAGTGGTGGCAAGGGGTGGGACATGGCACAGTGTCTTGCAGCCCCTGTGATTTGGTTTCATTTAAGTTTTTCTCTGTATGCTGTATTAGCAACAGAATTCAGCTAGTGCTTAGTGTGTACTATTTGAAGGAAAACAAAAGTGTTACCTGCTAAATCTCTTCTTCCAATGCCCACAAGACCTTCGTACAACCCCTTGACTGGATTTTCTCCTGCCACGATCACACCGTGAAGCCAGATTAGCAACATCCTGTGGCCGTGCTCCCTGTAGCTTGCAGTACCTGGTGAAATGAAACTGAAACTGAAACTCTGCACTTGGCAATCCATAGCCCTGACTGAAGCTGATTTCTGACCTCCTGTGTTTGAACGCCCCTCCTCTTTGGATTTGAGGCTGTAAAGTACAATCTGTCTTAACTCCTGTTTGGTCAGATTGCTAGATTAATATTAAAGCTAATGGAGGAGGTGATGGATGAGCTTGGGCTTGTCAGGCAACCTTTTATATCAGTACAAAATTTCAGCCTTTGAAGCATAGCTTATTTCCTTGCTTGCATTATTCAAACTACAGGGGCGCCCCCTATGGTGACCACCAAACTGGCAGTGATCTGTTTCCAGAACCTGGTGCTACTAAGGCATCTGTTAAATCCCAAATGGAACTCTGCTGTTACCTTCACTCAGCTTTCTACAGAGGATAAACAAGTTTTTTTCTGTCCTAAAGAAAAAAAAAATTAATTCAATTTCTGTAGCAAGACCTCAAGATCTGGCAGCACCTCACAAAGCAATGGACAACTGACATCCATGCTTGTGTTGACTCCCAGAAGAAGTGTACAGATATCTCCCCACTCATTAAGTACATTTTGGTTGCTTCGAGTAAGCCGGGTGGCTTTCTTTACACTTCAGTAGTACTGCAGACCTTTGTCCTGGAAATGCAGTCCAAATGAAGTACAGAAAACAGTTGGGCAATGTTTTATACCTGTCCATTGTTGCTCAATGGCTCTAATATGTGCATCAGTGAATTTCCAGTAATGTGCCAGCTTCTTCCATTCACCAGGTTTGAGGTATTTAGTGGCTAACCTCCACATTACTGAGCGAATGTGCTGTGTTTCCACCCTGTGATCTTGCTTAAAGGTCAAGTGCTTTGCCACCCAGGAATTGGAGTCACTGTTCAGGTTGTCCTGCAAAGCCAGAACAGGAGTTTCAGCGTGGGATATTGCAGAATTGCTATCAGTCTTTTGTGGGATAAGATGCAGTTTGGCGTGTCCTGCTGCTTTCATGTTGCAATTCAGCCTTCCTGCTGGCATCGAAGTGCAAAACTGCATCTTGTTCTCATGTCAGTCTACAATAGGTTTTGTCTTGTTGGGGCTGACAATCTCAGTGAAGCTGGGACGTTAAAGATCTGTTCTGTTGGTATTACTGACATCAGCCCCATCGTGCTCCCTGGACCAAGACCTGCACATGCCCTCCTGCTATCACCAAAGCTTTTTACATAGCTGTCACTCTGCTGTCTCCCACACACCCACAGGTTGCTACCAAGCTCACTCTAGCGCAGCACATTTCTTTTATTGTTGTTTCACTCCACTTTAATGATGCATGTTAACAAATACAGTTAATAGCAGCTTTGCTGTGGAAGCCCATGGAAATCACAGTTTGCATTTTTATAGCACCTTTTATCTGGGACTTGTATGAAGAATCATTTAATCAGATTTCCTTGCTCCCCTAGAACACAGACACGTGCTCACCTCCTTTGCCTGCCAGACTGTAAGCGGGATAAATGACTTTGCTAAGGGCTACATGGGAAGCCCATACAAGGGTCTGACACACAGCATTATTTCTGTGCCTATGCCACAAGCTTATGCCCTCCTTTCCCTTCTATTCCTTCCCTTCTAGAGTACTGCATTTCCTGGTAACAGGGAATGCTCCAGGTCCATGAAGATGCAAGGAATGTGGTGTTGAGCTGTGCTTTTAACATGCTCTCTGCTCAGACTGTGTTGGGCACAGATCTGGGACTTGGAGGGGGGCTGAGGTTGAGCAGCTGTACTCTATGCACAGGAGACACTGCTGTCCCACATTGGGAACACAGGAGGAACAGCCCCAACTGTGGGGAAGTTTGAGAGGGAAGTTGGTTGTATGATTCCAACAAGAAACTATCGCTCACCTTGCAAGAAACGATATTTGTAAGAGGTGAGGTGTCCCCCACTGCTGTAACTCCCAAGGTCACAGTTATTGACCTCAAGCCAACATTTACCTACTCAGTGCTTCAGTTTCTCCTTCTGGGAAAAGGAAATAATTATACCCCACTCTCTTCTGCAAGGCTTTGGGAAAGCTGCCAGAGAATCTTTGAAAACCCCTGTTCACTTCACCACAGCCTGAAGCTTCTAACAACAGAGGCTTTTTAAAAAAATAAATAGCCTTAAGTAGATGTGACATGCTGAGGGCTTTTGTTTTCCTTTAAATGAAAGCTGAGGTCAGGCTGCCATGGAATGTCCTGCATTTCTTTTTTTTTTTCTTTTTTTTTTTGATAGTTGATAATGTGGAGTCTCAGTGGAGACAATAAAGGCACATCTACCTTGTAAAACACAGGGTATGGTGGTATGAGCTGCTCACCTTTTCCCATTTGTAAAACCGATCTGCCTTGATAATCATGTCTGCCAAGTTGATGTGATTGCCTCGGGCAGCAACATCCAGAGATGTTTTTCCCTGCTGAAATCAGAAGGGGAAAAATGAGCTGGAAAAGACCTAGCTATGCTCACCTGGCAGTCATTAACAGCAGGCAGCTGATCCTATTGAGCAATGTACCTAGCTGTGATGAAGGATCCTTATTCTCCACCTGTAAACCAGGTCTCCTCATGTAAACCATGAATCACCTTCAACTTATTGCATGCAAGGCTTAGGGAGTCATTTGCCAAGATCTTCAGTATTTCTTCTGCTGCCATGGGAGAACTGTCAGTTTGGCAGCAGCATCTGGGAATGCATCTTGTAAGTCACAGTGGATTGTAGGATGCTCTTAGGCACCAGCAATACGGGTGCTGTCTTCAACAGATTAGCTCAGCTCTGCAATCTGAGACATTTTACAGCCTTTTGCATAGCAAGTTTGTTGATGCACAAAGCTGAAGTAGTTTGTGCAACCTCATTAACTTAATAGGATCCACAATGTGTGATTAAAAATGGTCTCCTGGGAGAAGCACAGGTGGATGGGACTATGAAAATGTAACTACACTCCTTACATAAACATAATTTTGGATAAAGTGATTGGCCAGTGGGGAGAGTGTGTGTATGTATCTATATAGAGCATAGAGAAGAAAGGCACAAGATCAGAAAGCTGCACGTAGGAAGGTGAGCCAGCCCAGCCATCGGGCATATGAAGGATTCTAGTCTCAGATATGAGCAGAAGCCCAGTTTCACACAGAAAAGTGTGAGTGTATTCTCTGCACTGAGCCTTGCTGTGGTTCCACAGACTGCTGGAAGATGACAAATGTTTATTATAGGTAAAGGCTGTTTCAGCCAGGTGGCTTTGGATCTGCTTTTACCCATGTATTAATGGAAGACACTTCATTAACCTCTGCCTAAGCCCCTTTCAGCATTTTCTAGGCACATTACACTGCTTTCAGGCTGCACACAACGTGCATGACTCCTCTACAATTCCCTTTTCTTTTTAAATTTAGGAGCTAAAACCCAGGACACTGGTACCAAATTTATACAAACCAGATACTTTAAACCCGTTAAAACGTACACTGTGATCCCTGATTAACATTATTTATCATACTTCCATCAAAGGTATTAACCTTTGATATTAATGTATACAGTATCTCAACCAGAAGTGATGTGAACCAGAGCATGAACTAGAGGAAATTTTGCTCACTGTGTGAACTGTTTTCTGTCTTCCTAAGAACCAGTCACTTCCTTACTGGAAAAGGCATCAAACCAACCTACTGCAGACCTTATCCCTGGAAGTACCCAGATTTTAATATTCTCCCTAGCGCTTCTTAAAAATTAGGAGAAGTATCTGTAAAGTGAGAAAGATCTATTCAACCCACGGAGACGTTCACCTTGTCCGTTAGTTTCAGATTTACTCCTGCAATGAGAATCATCTCGGCGATGTCCTGCCTGCCGTGCTCTGCAGCGATGTGAAGTGAGGTCTGCTGCCTCTGCATAAGAAGGGTGAAAGGAGTAAGTTTCAAAGAGGCACAAGCATGAGGCTGTGAAGATAGGAAGGAGCAGCACCAGATGGAAGCACTGGAAGAACTATCAGCTCTGCCTTCCTTTCCTCTCCAACCCTTTTTCAACTGAGACACACAAACACCTTGAACTGGCACTGGGTTCCTCAAGCTGAGCCACGGTCTGCCCCTGTCCTAGCACTGGGATGCCTCCCTGATGACATTTCAGTCTGAAGAAGGAACCTCTTCAGTCTCATACATCTCCTGGGGCTCACTTGTAGGAACGTTTAATTTCATGTTATTTAAACATTTTCTGTAGGCAAATAGTTTGGCAAGGAAGGAATGAACCTGTGCCAATTCTTTGTTCTGAGGATAAAGGGTCTGCTTAGTGTGTACACACTGCAATCTGGAATTACTTAATAGAAAAAATTAAAAATCAAATACAAAATGTGGTGATTGTGTGGCTGCATGGACAGAATATCTCCACAAGAATGAATATTATCCAAAACACTACAAACAAGCCACAAAGCTGCAAATAAAGCCCCTCATTCACAAAATTATAATCAGTCAAGACAACCAACTACCTTTGGAGAATACCTTCTGGCCTGAAATTTCAGTCACCCGATTCCAGCAGAGGGCAGAGTTTACACCATGTCCCAGGGACACGGCACAGCCCAGTGAGCACTATCAAGAGGTTACCTCACTGCAGCACTCAGTATCATTTCACAGGCTTCACATTTCCTAAATTACACTTCCAGCTTTTCCCCATTTTAAAGCACGCCTCTTTAGTCCCGTCCCCCAGGTGATCACATCTTCCACAAAATGGGTTCACATTTCAAAGGAAAAAAAAAGAAAAAAAAGAGTTGCAGACTTACATTATCTGGAATGTCAAGGTCACACTCTGCATCAATGAGGAGCTTCACCAGTGCTGGGAAGTTCTGCAGTACCGCCAAGTGTGTCGCTGAAGCATTTTGCTGTACAAGAAAAGAACTTGTGCTCAGAAAGCACTCACCTCCATCACATAAAAAGACTGCATTGTGCCCACAGTGTCCAAAATAAGACAAGTGCCAGACTGGACTGGGGGGGTACTGGGGATACTGCCTCATAAGCACAGGCTCCACAGAAGCACCGGTCTTTACAAAGTTGCTTGTTGCTCTTGAACAGCTTCACCAGCTGTCTTTGCCTATTGGTATGGAACGAGAGCAATGAGTGGGACTCACATGATTAACAGCATCGACGTGGATTCCTGCATCCACAAGGATCCTGGCTATCTCCTCATAGCCATGTAGTGCTGCATAATGAAGGCAATTCATTTTCTTCTAGAAAAACACATCAAAAAATACAAGTATTAGTCAGGGCTTCTTCTCAGAAGCTGCATTTGTTGCAGGCTATTCACAGAAACCTCCACGCTTCCTTCCTGCAAGAAACCCATGCCCCAGAACTAGTAAATCCACACAGATCATCTCCACAGCTCTCTGGTCCCAGAGCAGCTTCACATACCTCTTTGTACAAAGCCACACAGGCTTTCATCTGCACTCTCTGCTCTACTTCTGCCAACTCCAATTTTCTTAAGGCAGACCTGAACCCAAGACCTCTCTACAGGTACCCTGTCATGATAGCAACAGGGGTATAAAAGAATCTACAGAGGAGGACTAGCCTCTGTGATGAAGGGGCTCTCCTGAGACTTAGGTGACTGCACAAAGGGCTTCTCCACGCTCACGCTACATCACCCAGCCATTCTCCAAAAGAAAGCTCGAAACTAACCCTGCACAAGCTGCTGGCTGTACCAACATGGTTGCACAAGCTGTGCAGGTACAGTAGTCACACTAGAGAAAGCTTCTGACAAAGGAGTCACCTCCACAGAGCTCACCTGAGTTTGGACATTGACATCAGCACCTGCTTGCAAGAGCAGCTTTACACAGTCACTGTGACCTCCCTCAGCAGCCAGGTGTAAACACGTAAGTCCTTCCTGGAACAAGGCAGGATGAGAGAAGCAAAAAGGGAAACACACTGCTCTTCTGTAAGCAAGGACAAGATGAAGTAGTAGAACAAGCAAGTCTCAACCGTATCTTCTGAATTCATTACATGTTAAAATAGCAAGTGTGATTGTTAGGAAAATAATGAACACAATTATCTGTCACTAACAGAGTACTGCTCTGTCCTTATGCCATGGGAAGCAGCTGGCCAACAGGCCACACTGCTTCTCCCTTTTCCTTCTGAGGGCTACAGCTCATTTCTTTGCAAGAAAGCAGCAGAATTCATAGGTGAGTTCATCTGGTTTTATTATAGCTCTTGCAGAGGGGGCAGCTATTCTGGGAGTAACAAATGCTACCAGTTACTAAAATTGCTGGTTTCCTTTTTCTTTCAGATCTTAGTGACAATCAAATGTACTTTGGAAGAACTGTAACCAAATAAGACTAAAAAATAGCTGATAAACTTAATTGGAAGTGTGCCGTGGAATGAATACTAGCTTAATACTAGCTTAACTGAGCCAATATTTGCTATCTAAGTCATTAACTGTGTTCTAGCCACAGAATTTTCTGAAGCAGGTCTATCAAAGAGAGATCTCAAACAGAAGGGCCATATGTTCAGTGGCTAAGTCAATACTATAAAGCACACTGAAGTTGAGTTTAAAACACACTCAATAACTATTTAGGCACTTGAATGTACAAGGGTCAGAGAGAAAAAGGGAGATAACAGAATGATAAGGTAGGTGAGGAGGTACAACTGAAAGAAAATGAGACGCCTTAAAATTGGATATTGGTCCAAGAAGGATGTTGCTTTTCACTGATACTCTCCAAGTGTGACTTCCTTTTAAACACATTAGATAAAATCAGTTATCTTCTAAACCTCATAGTGATCATTCAGCCCGATGACTGTGGCAGGAGAGTACTTCTAGAGATAGAAAAACTTGTGTGATTTTCATTTCATTAAATGTACTTACTAAGTTCTTTTCATCAAGGTCAACTCCAACATCTACAATCTTCTGCAGCACAGAAAGATGCCCATTTTTAGCAGCTAAATGCAGTGCTGTATCCTTTTCCTGAAAGCAAACATCATTTCATACATATACACACATATATGCTTATATAAATATCATAGGAGTGAGTGTTCGTACAAGATAATTTTGCAGTGTACCCAAGAGTGACTGAAGAAGAGACCCTAACCAGCAGTAACAATCTGAAATACAGTCTTGTATTAAGAGCAGCATGAAGTTAAGAAACCCAGCCATCTTAAAGTGGAGTATGGTCCACCAGGCTTGCTGGTGTATCCACCTGCAAAATTCTGGAGAGAAATCCAGCACGGACTGAGGAGCAAACGGCTTGCAGGTAGATAGGGAAGAAAAGTCCTGACATATCACAACCACAGTTAGGAATGCTGACAACTTGCCTGCACTGACCTTATTTGGAATCCCATGCCTGACTCTCACATCCTCTGATTCTTGGATTTTATATTCCCTCGTGCGTGGTTTTATGCCCATACCTTGTCTTTAGCACTGTGAGAACAACCGTGCCGGATTAGGAACTCCACCACCTCCAGCTGACCATGCTCTGCAGCCAGGTGAAATGCTGTCCTGTCCATCTTTGAAAGAAAGCAGAAAAAAAACACAGCCCAACAAGGCTCAGAAAGCAGATTACATCGTCTGCTGCAAGCACCCAGTTCTCAGCAAAGTTAGTGTCTGTGCAGGCAAAAAGTGTCACGCTTCTAAAATAGTTCTCTTTTATTTTGCTGTTAACTTGTATTCTGCTTTACTTTGGGTTAAGGTAACAACACGAGCTGAACAGAACTACAGACCAGTGTTCACAACTCTGTCTCACAAAACACTGGAAAGTTTATAAGAATAGAGAATAAAAAGCTTACTAATAGCAACCAAGAATAACACAAAATAGAGAAATAATATCTGAGACATCAGTTATCAAGCAAGTCAGAATTTCTTCAGGAGAAAGGTAGATCTTATGCTGCCTGATTTAGCCTCCAAGGACCAGAATGGGGATCATTCTAGGAACCACGAGTGCCAAGGAATAGAAAAAAACGTGTGCCAACTCCTGCATGTTCCTGTCTCCAGGAACAGATCAGCCATGGCTGGAAAATGCTGAGAGTCACCCATGGTTGTAACAAACGGCAACATTCTTGCTAAACTCAGCAGAGCAAGATCAGACCTAGCGAAACAAATGAGTGAAGAGAGTTCCCACCTTGTCTGTCTGATCCACGCACACATCTTCCAGGTTCTCCATGATGAATTCCATCACCCGGAGGTGTCCCCTCTGTGCTGCACAATGAAGCAGGTTCCTGCCATTCTGGAGAGGAGATCAAAGACAGTTTATTTAGCAAGTTGAATGCTGAGGGACAGTCTCTTTCAACAACTTATTCCTGCTAACAATGACTTATCTGAAGTCTCCCTTTACCTCCAGGGCTGTACTAGTATCTACTGCAGACAGGCACATTATCACTGAAGTATTCATGCTCCTTTCCCCATCCAAGGTTTATTTTAAAAAGCGTGGTCCATTCTCCAGTTCTGTAATGCCTTCCATGTCCGCACTGCAGAAACTTGAGCTGAGAAAGCCTCATACATCTCTATAGCTACAATGATTACATCTGTTTCAGGAGTAAGTCTAGGCTTGAAAGTGAAGATGGCTTCACCTAAGGTCACCCCATCAGAGGGATGATGTTGTCACACACAATTACCTTGGCTAATAGGTAAGCCTCTCTCTCTTTCTGTCACTCTCCGGCTCTGCATGACAAACCCAGATGCAGAGACTCTCACCTTATTAACACAGTTTATCTTCGCCCCAGCATTGACAAGGATATGCAGGACATGGAGGTGGCCAAACCAAGCAGACAGGAGAAGTGCGTTCATTCCAAACTGAGCAGAAGAGAAGAGAAACACGTACAGCTAAACTGCAGACCACTACCATCCCCACTCTAATGCTAAGCTGTCCACGAACTGCCATTTAGCCCAGCTAGTGCCATTCCTGCCACCAATGGTCTCAAAAGCTGAGCAGAGTCATACCTCTTAACTGCCACCTCCTAGTCAGTGGTGTCCACTGGCCTGGTTGTTATGAGGAAGAGAGAACTTGATGGCAGTCATAGCATTTCCACAAGCCTCATCAACATGATGACAAGAAGCTAAGCATTCCTGTGCTATATAAAAATCTTGCATCCTCCCAGACATTTTCCTGGTCACTGTGCTTGCAGAAAAAGAGGCTAGAAGACAAAGCACAGAGGCAGCCCAAAATGTGGCAAGCTCCAAAAAGCCACTACACCTTTGCAGAGAAGCTACAGCTTCTCAGGTACCACAGTGCCTTGTGCCATCCACTCAAAACTAAGGTGCAGCCTTAGCCAGCCCAGCACCCCCCAGCAGTGCACACATTTGCAGGATGAGCAAGAGATGTTTGCCTTCATACACTGTCCTCATCATCCACTGGCACATCATGGTCCAGGAGCAGTCGCACAGCATCCACATTCCCAGCTCCTGCAGCCCAGTGCAAGGCAGTTCGCTCTGTCTGGAAGAGAATGAAGGAAAGAGCCAAAGCTGATGTATGCAGAATGTGTGCATTTTTACCACCCTCCTAGAAGACCCAAATCTGTGCAGTTTTCTTTGGCCACAGCCTTTCCCTCCTTGCTCTGCAGATAGTGACCTCACTGGCTCCAAAGAGAACCATAAATTACAACCCTTTGTCACTGCTTGCAACTTTCCAGTCTGCTCAGCATGCCATTTCTGTTGCTTTCAAGTGTGCTGTGAAGCTGCCCAGTTGCCACAGGTTCTATTTGGCACTGGGCAGTGTACTTTAAAGCTTTGGCCAATTGAGCAGCTAATGAGGAGAGCAGTGTAACAGAGCTGTAGTTCTCAAACACATTCAGCACTTCCGGCAGCTTGGAGGCAGGAAAACTTGGCACTTACATTGTTTTTGGCTTTGATATCGACCCCCCTCTTGATGAGCTCCTCCATCCTGGCCGTGTCATTACGCTTCGCTGCATCATGGAACTCCTTCTCTGAATGAAGCACTGCAGCAGAGACAGAAGAGCTGGTACTGAAACAGTGCTGGGATGAAGCACGGAGCAGCGTGCCCCAACAAACCTCCCCTTCAGCTCACCAGTTCTCATGACTTCAGGGAAGGAAGACAGCAGAAAGATTCCTTCAGCAAGAATCCCGGCCATACAGATGCTGGCCTGTTTGCTGGATTCATCTTCACCTGCTATCTCCCCTTTCCTGACCACAAATCAGTGCTCTTCCAATTCTAATTCAGTATCTCCTGTTTGTAGGGATTTGTTCTATCCTTCTGGTCCATGACATCTGGTACCCTCCAAGCCCAGAACCGATGTGAAGACTCAAGCAGAAGACACAGACTCTTCCTTCTGTCACTCCACTTACTACCTGCTGCTCTACAAGGATGCCCTTGCACATGGTTCTCCTTTCCTGCAACGTGAACCAGCCAGGCAGGACACAACCACTGTCCAGCTGTGATTAGTGTTGCATCTCCTAATAGACTGTGGCAGTTCTGCACATTAATTTACACAAATGGCAGCATTTGTCTTGCACAGCAAGGCATAATTTAAGGGTGTTTACTCTCCATGCTGGGCCTTGCCTCAGCAATCTTCTCCTTAATCGAACAAACCCTCCTGCCAAGAAATGAGAGCAATGTGACTCTGGGCCTGCTGCAGCCTGACAGGGAGGATCTCAGGGTTTTTGGCAAGGCTGCTGCGAGCCTTTGTCAGATTCAGTCACTGCCCTAATGGCTTTAGAGAATTCTTTAGAGAAGTAATCAAGTCAGACCCTCGGCCTGTCACATCCTGCTGGAGAGCTGGCACAGACGCTCTGCTCTCTTCTATTTTTTTTCTGTAGCTCTCAGGCTGCTGTTCGAGGATAGATAGCAGGGGACCAATGCAACTTTTGTCTGTTGTTTTACCCTCCTCAAGAATACATGCCTGTGTCAACCAAACCTGCTCATGTTTTAACCCAAATGTAAGTCTAGGTAGTAATCTTCAATCACACTCTTTTGCTGCTGCTTGACACAGCCCATTCTGATTTTCAAACCTACTATTTATAAGCACTTCAGGATCGTACAGAACCGTCACTCTCTGGGAGCACAACCATCTTCTCTGTTTTGCTCTGTGCCACTAAAGATGCCCCAGTCTATGAAAAGGTCCTCACAGGTGCACAGCTTCAAGTGCTAGATAGCAGATCTAAATCCACCCTGCAAATGCAGAGCATCAGCAAAGTGGTTCTGCTTATATTCTGGCAAAACAGCTCCTGAGCAGCTCCACTCTCCACTGGTTCCCACAGCCTGAAGACTGCAGGAACGACAAGGCTGCCTGCATTAACCAAAAATCAACCCCTAATGACCCAACAAACAAGAAGGAAATGCTGGACTATGCAGGGATGGTTTTGCTCAAGTTAGTTTATTTCATTTGTATTGACTAACTCTGAAAACGCAAATGGTGGCAGGCAGGTTCTCAGCTGTAATTAAGCAGAATTCCATTCACTTGACTGCTGATCTAGATATGGATAAGCCTCTGCCTTAGCATTATCTAATGTAAATCAAGAGGTTTTGAACACCTTCCATTAATTCTATGTGTCTGCAAACATATAGGCCTGACACTTCATTACTACTGAGAAAATGTTATCAACCAGAGACAAACCACAAGCCATAGAGAGGCACCAGAACTTTTCACTGTCCCATTCAGGAGATAAACAAGAGACTCTCAGTCATAGTTAAGCAAATGCCTTAATTTCCCAGGCAGAAATGCCTTCTGCGTACACACAAAGCACAGGTGGGAGGTGCCACACCACCACTTCACTCACACTCTCCTCTAATGGCCAAGATAAAGCAACAAATCTAAGATCTCTAAGGCTGCAGAAGCTGAAACTTATTTATTTTCAGCAATGTAGGAGAAACAACTGGATGGTGTGATTGCCTCTTCAGCATTGACACTGAGGAAGTTATCCCTGTAAATGTGGATGCACTCCCCATCACAGCACACACCTGCCCCACAGGCACCATTTATATTCATTTAATGTTCTACTGTTTGAGCTGAGGTTCTGGGGTATGACCACCCTTAAAGCGCTCAATATGAGTTCAGTGATCCCAAACAGCACAGAAAACACTTCAAACACTTTATCCTCAGCGCAACGCACCAACAAGCAGGCAGCTTATTATGCAAGGCAGTAAAAGAGCAGAAATACAGGCACAGAAACATGTTGAGAGACCACTCAGGGTGGCAGCAGGCCAAAACGCAGAATTTGGGGTACTTACGCACACCTCAGGCGTATGCAGTGCTTTAAAGCAAAAGCAACCTGCTCTACACCTAGCTGTGTTTTGAATGGAATTTTACATCTTCAATTATTCCTAAAAGCATTTCCGTAAGCGGGTGAGGGAGGGGGGAATCTTTATGGCCCTTATAACCACAGCTAGGATGGGGTGAGGGGGATCCCACAGCGCTCCACCTCATTGCCCACAGCGCGCGCAGCGCCGTTCGCACCCACACCCCCTCCTCACGGCTTTCCCGCCCAAACCCTCTCCTCACGGCTTTCCCGCCCAAACCCCCTCCTCACGGCTTTCCCGCCTCCGCCCGCCGCGGCCCCACTCACGCGTATCGTCCTCCGAGGCCGGCTCATCCCCCATGTCACCTCCTCAAGGCAGGGCGGGCACAGCCTCGCCGCCTCATGGGCGGGCCGACTGCCGGGCCGCACCGCCGCAGAGCGTCTCTTTCGCTGCTGTTTAAAGTAAGATAAATGGAATATCGCCGTCGTTTCCGTACACGCCGCCGTTTGGAAAGCAGAGCGGCTGCAGGGGCTCGCCAGTTGTTTTGATGCAATCCTCATAAAGGGGAGAAGGTGGCCTTGGGTCAGCAATCCTTGCTTTAAAATATATATATATATTTAATTTTGCTTTTTGTTTGTTAAAATAGGCCGTTGTGGAATGGCTGCGAGGGGCAAAGCCCAGGCATCTCGTTCTGGGCTCCGTGCCGTGACTCCTCAGCCCGGTGCTGCCCTCCCCTCAGGGTGTTCAGCTTCAGTGCCCTCACTAATACGGTGCTATGGGTGGTTTAGTTCTGCTTCCACACCGATTTGAGAGGAGAGGGTTTTCCTGTGGGAAATACAGAGTGGGTTGTTGTGTTGTTTTTGTGTATTTGTTTTTTAATTTGTTTTTTAATTTGTTTGTTTGTTTGTTTCCTGAATGTAAGATTTGGCATTTCCTCGCTGTGTGGCCAAGGCACTGCAGAAGCTGCAGAATGGGGTTAAATCGGTTCTTTACCCATGGTTTGAGTTAATTCTCCTGTTTCAGCATCAAGATCTAGTTTTGTCTTTCATTTTCTCTTTCCTTCTGATAATTCTAGGAGGAAGGAACCAGATAATGGTTGAGCTAGGGGTGGGGGAAGGATGCAATCCCTCTTGGGGAGGCCTGAGACAAGCAGAAAAAAGCAGGGTCCAAAGCAGCAGTGTGTGAGGACACAGAAATGACAAAGCTGGCTGCTCAGCCCAACCCGCTGGCCCTGCTCCTGTGCCAGGAGCCTGGGTAGATGCTGTGAAGTACTCTCGATGCATGCTTTTGTTTTACCTGACATCTCCTTACATTTTCTATGCTTTCTTGTGTCTGCTTGCGCTCTGTCATGCCTTTAATACGGGGTGACACCTTGAGCGGCATGTTGGCTTGCTTGAGTAAATGCTGTTGTTTGCTGGTCCTTCAAGGAAGATGCTGTGGAGAGAAAGGAAGAACCTATTCTGCAAACTTGGAATGGGCAGGACTGGGAAGCATGAGCTTAAATCTCAGTAGCCAGGACTTCAGTTTCTTCTGCATGTAGCTTTCCAGTGGCCAAGATAGCAAAGGGGAGCAAGCTGTGTGACAGGGATTTCTTTGCTGATCACAGGGAAGAGAGGCTCATCTTGTGGTAGAAGAGACCTTGCAAGGTCCTTGCTAGCCCTGACGCTCTGCTTTCTCTGTAGCATCACATTTGCATTCCCTCCCTTCACCATGCCAACTGGCTCCGTCAGACTTCATGCTTTTCCCGGGCCCCTATCCTCCTTAGAAGGAATCCCTAGAGGAATCATCTAGATGTGTTGGACGACCTGTTTTGGCTGAGAGCGCAGAGCGACCACACGAGGGTGCCAGTGCTGTTTACCTGCCGGGATTCGCTGTGCTGTGCAGTGAGCTCAAGGCTGCAGCTGGGGCTGTCCTCGGGCTCAGGCCATGCTTAGACACCACCGTCCTGGGGATCCTCGTGCAGGTCTTAGCTGCTCCTATGTGTGCTGAGATGCAGTGAAGCAGGCCCAGAGGATGCAGAGATATAGAGACCCTTTACTAAAGGAGAAATGTCTGTGGGCACAGCGGCACCCCATACAGACACACCAGAACTAACTAAAGTGCTGGGCTGATCCATGGGTTTCCACCTTGTCAAAGGCACCCCGATGAGGACTGTGCACCCAAGTGCTGCACTGATGCAGCTGTCTTGCTGTGGGACCATTGGCAGCAGTTGCAGCTGTGAAATGGAGAAG